CCAAAAAATGACTTAACATTACATCTCAAAGCTCCAGAAAAAGAACAACAAATCAACTAAAAGCAATAGAAGACAGTAAATAACTAAAATCAGAGCCAAAGTCAATGAAATTGAAGCAACAGTAACAAAAAAAATTCAAAAATATACACAAAACAAAAAGTTGGTTCTTTGGGAAAAACAAATAAAATTGATAACCTCTTAGCCAAGCTAACAAGGAAAAGAGAGAAAACTCAATTCACTGAAATTTATGATGAAAAAGAAAATATCACAATGGACACTCCTGAAATGCAGATGATAATCAGAAACTTTTTTGAAAATCTCTATTCCAATAAAAGAGAATCATGATGACATTGATAAATTTCTAGAGACATATGACCTACCCAAATTGAACCAGAAAGACATCAAAAATTTAAATGAATCAACTTCAAGCAATGAAATTGAAGATGCCATCAAAAGCCTACCAACAAAATAAAGCCCAGAACCAGATGGAATCTCAGCCAAGTTCTATCAGACCTTCAAAGAATAACTGACACCAATTCTCCCCAAATTATTCCATGAAATAGAAAAGGAGTAAACCCTTCCAAACTCGTTCTATGAAGCTAGTATCACCCTGATACTAAAATCAAACAAAGCACGTCAAAGAAAGTAAACTTCAGATCAACATGAACAAAGATGCCAAAAAGTCTTAACAAAATTCTGGCAATCACATATAAAACTTATTTAAAAGATAGTACACCACAATCAAGTGGGGTTCATTCCAGAGATGCAAGCCCAGTTCAACACACAGAAATCAATAAATGTAATTCATCACATCAACAGACTTAAAGACAAGTATCATATGATTATCTCAATAGATGCAGAAAAAACATTTGACAAAAAACAACATCCATTTATGTTCAAAACACTGGAAAAACTAGGAATAGTAGGAACATACCTCAACATTGTAGAAGTTATAGATGCTAAACCTAAGACAAACATCAATCTAAATGGAGAAAAATCAGAAGCATTTTTTCTAAAAATTGAAACAAGACAGGGATGCCTGTCCAGTTTTCCCAGCACCTTCTATTCAGTATAGTCCTTGAAACCCTAGCCAGAGCAATTAGACAGAAAAAAAAAGTAAAGGGATATGAATAGGAAGAAGAGCTCAAACTATATCTATTTGCCAATGACATGATTCTCTATAAATAAGACTCAAAACAGTTCACCAGATTCTTAAACTAATAAACATATTCAGCACAGTAGCAGGATATAAAATGCACACCCATAAATCAATTGTGTTCCTGTACACCAATGATGAATCAGATAAAATAGAAATCAGAAAACAATTCCATTCACAATAGCCTCAAAAGAAATAAAATACTTAGAAATCAATCTGACAAAAGAGGTAAAAGACCTCTTCAATGAAAACTACAGAGCACTAAAGAAAGAAATTAGAGAAGACCTTAGAAAATGGAAAGACTTCCCATATACTTGGATAAGTAGAATTAATATTTTTGAAATGGCCATACAGATTTAATGCAATTCCCATTAAAATTTCAATGTCATTCCTTATAGAAAAAGCAATCATGAAATTCATTTGGAAAAAATAAGAGACCCAGAATAGCCAAAGCAATTTTTAGTGAGGAAAATAATGCAAGAGGCATCACAATACCAGATCTTAAATTATACTACAGAGCTATAGTAACAAAAATGGCACAGTTGGCACAAAAGTAGAATTAAAGATCAATGGATTAGAATAGAAGATATAGAGATATACCCACATAAATACAGTTATCTCATACTAGACAAAGATGCCATAAATATACATTGGAAAAAAGATAGCCTCTTCAACAAATGGTGCTGGGAAAACTGGAAATCCATATGTAGTAGATTAAAATTGAACCCCTATCTCTCACCCTGCACAAAACTCAACTTGAAGTGGATCAAGGACTTTGGCATCATACCAGAGACCCTGTGCATACTAGAAGATAAAGTAGGCCCATACTTCAGATCCACTCAGGAACAGACTAACTCAATAAGACTCCTAAAGCACAAGAAGTAAATCAAGAATCAATAAATGGAATGGTATCAAACTAAAAAGCTTCTTCACAACAAAGGAAACAATCAAGAACATGAACAGAGAGCCTACAGAGTGGGAGAAAATCTTTGCCACCTGCACCTCAGATAGAACATTAATCTCCAGGATATACAAAGAATACAAAAACTTAACACCAAAAAACAAATAACCCAATTAATAAATGGGCAAAGAAACTGAGTAGTCACTTCACAGAAGCAGAAATAAGAATGGTCAAGAAATATATGAAAAAAATGTTCAACATCTTTAGCAATTAGAGAAATGCAAATTAAAACTACACTGAGATTCCATCTCACTCCAGTCAGAATGGCAATTGTCAAGAATACAAGGAACAATAAATGTTGGTGAGGATGTGGGGAAAAGGGCACACTCACAAATTGCTGGTGGGACTGCAATTTGGTGTAACCACTCTGGAAAGCAGTATGGAGACTCCTCAGAAAACTTGGAATGGAACCACCATTTGACCCAATTATCCCACTCCTCAGCTTATACTCAAAGGACTTAAAATCAGCATACTACAGTGATGCAGCCACATCAATGTTCAGAGAAGCTCAATTCATGATAGCCAAGCTATGGAACCAGCCTAAGCGCCCATCAACAGATGAATAGATAAAGAGAATGTTGTATATATACACACAATGGAATATTATTCAGTTATAAAGGAGAATGAAATTATGGCATTTTCTGGTAAATGGATGGAATGGAGAATATGATGCTAAGTGAAATAAGCCAGTCCCCGAACACTAAAGACCAAATGTACTCTCTAATATGGGGATGCTAACCCATAACAAGGGAAGATAAGGAGGGGAAGTATAGAAGTTCATTGGATTAGACAAAGAGAAATGAAGGGAAGAGAGTGGGGATAGAAATAGGAAAAATAGTAGAATGAATTCAACATAACTTTCCTAAGCTCATATTTGAAATTGTAATGGTTTGAACCCCATGTATGTATAATATGTCAAAATGCACTCTACTGTCATGTATATCTAAAAACAAATAAAAAATTGCTAGTAAACTAAAAATTCATTTAAAACTTTCATTGTTTATTCTTAAATTAAAACAATATCATATGTCACCTTCAAAGTTACTCTTTTAGTGAAGAGTTGCCTTTATACTGGACAACAGCATATTGCAACAATATTATATTTATAAAAGCCATTATCTCTTCATGTATGTATTTAGCATTTGTGCCCCAAAAAGACACTGGACTCCCTGATTTTTTTCATTTTCTTTTAAAATAAAGGAAGATCTGTCTTGGGAAAAAATATGAAAAGGTCAAGGTTGGTCCCTAGGATATCAGCTGGGAAGTCTGGATCTCCTTCCCTCTGGTGTGGTCCTTTAACGTCAGATGGACTTTTGTCCTTTCTCTACCAAAACACATTCAGAATAAAGAATGAGAGCTTTCTTCTCAGGGGAGCATAAATGACTAACATGGGTTCTAGCCAATATGAGGTTTCCATTGTAATAGTTGAACTTGGCCTTCAAAGTCAGACCTCAGTAAATTCCAGGTCCAACACTCAGCAGTTGTATAACACTGGCCATGTTAATTTTTATGAATATCAAGCAAACTTCCTGCAAAAGAGTACTCAATAAATGTTAGCTATTTTTTATTATGAATCACAGACCTAAATACAAAATAAAACAGTACAAAAACTTTCACCATGCTGGGAGTGTAACTCAGAGGTATAAGCACTTTCCTAGCATATGCAAGGCCCTGGGTTCAATCCACAGCACTGAAAAAAAAAGAGGAAGAAGAGGAGTAAAAGGAGGAAGAGGAAGAGGAAGAAATTATCAACTATCACCACAATCCTGATAGAAACTTTCAGATAGTTAATAAATAAAGAATGGAAGGGACATTTACATAGAGAAAACTCTAAAATGTTTCAAACCTCCTGTAGTTACTTATTGTCACTTTGATTACTAGTTTAATATATACTGAAATGTTTAATGTATAAAAATAGTGTTTTTTATGAACCCACTTTTGTTAAAAATAACAGAAGACTCAAATAGAAGAGGCAATTTGTTGCTTCATCTAATTAGAAAATTCAGAGGTGGACCAGGATAGGATTACTTGGATTAGGATTTCAGTTTAATACCTGAGATATCCTTAACACTGCAGTTCCTTACTGATGGAACTTCAGACTGGCTGCGGTTGGGGTATCTCATATACCCATACCATTGGACTGAAGTCCTGAACTTCACTCTGAATGGACAGATCCTTTCTTTCTCCTCTTGAATGTTCAGACTTGAGCTGAGTTTATGTTCCTTAAGCGAATATTTGTAATGCCACATAACTTGATTCTCCATACGTTCTCCCAGTTATGGTTTTGTCCTTCATCCTTGGCAAATTAGACACAGATATCACATGGTTTGAACATGACGCTAGTAAAAATTAAAATAGTACATTCCAATAAGGGTGACAACAGTGACAGTATCGACAGCCAGTTATCAGCAATAACAGAGGCAGTGAGCCATTCTAGTGCCAACATCAATGATGAATTGGTGGGACAGACACTGCAGACTGGATCTGTTAATGGTAGCAGTCATTTCTTCACAAGTCTTATAGCATAATTTTGGCCAATGTTCCCAGCTGCATAGCCTGATAGCCTGATTCTAGTACTAGAGATTTTTTTTAATAAATCAACCTTTTCACTTCATATTAGACTAAATTAATTTTGTTATTTACAACCAAAAACCATTACTGCTCGTGCCCATCCGTGAATCAGTGACTCACGAATGGCTTTAATCTTACTATTCTAGACCAGCTCCCTGGAACTGGGTACCTGATTAATCCCACCCAAACTACATGGCTTCTAGTAGTGAGGCAAAGGGAGAAAGGTTATTGGGACAGCCACTTCTAAAAACGACAATGTAATGTCAGCAAACTTGCTAACTTGTCCTTTATGTTTTTCTTCAACCATTCAAGTGACACCAGTGATAATCCTTCTGAAGTAGATGAAACTACAATTGTTATAGAGGCCATAAGAGAATCTAGTTCATCAAAATTCATTCCTGAAGATGATGCACTTTTTGAAATGATTATAGGAGATTTTTTTCCTGGAGTGATTGTTTCAAAAGTAAATCAACTTGCCTTGGAGGTAATAAGATCTTTGAAAATCATCACAGATTATTTAGTTGTGGAATATCAATTTATACTAAGTGTGGATTAAATATACTATGTTCTTCCTGAAATGCTCTATTTATATTATAATAGGGGAGACAAAAATGGAGACATGCATATCCTTTTAGGGAAAAGGAATTTTAGACTAAATGTAACTGTTTAGACAAGGAGAACTATTACATTTTTCATTCTCAATTTTCTCATCTTTCAAATGTTGATGATGTGTTGGTTCTTCCTACTTTGAAGAGGTATTTTGAAAATCAATTTAGAGTCAGGTGCAGTTGCACAGATCTATAATCCCAGCAGCTCAGGAGGCTGAGGCAGAAGGATTCCAAGTTCAAAGCCAGCCTTAGCAAAGTAGCAAGGTTGTAAGCAACTTAGTGAGAACCTGTCTCTAAAAAATAAAAAATAAGAAGATCTGGGGATGTTGCTTAGTTGTTAAGCACCCCTGGATTCATTCTCTGGTACCAAAAGAAAAAGAAAATCAAATTAGTTCAGAATTATGAAAAAGTTATTTTGCAATCATTAAAACTATGTTATAATTATAGAGCCCTTTATTGTTTCTTTTACTTATTTAGTCTCATAGCTATTGTCTTGGTTTCGTAGGATATCAGTGTTTTTGTTTCTAATACTATTGTATAGCATCCTACCACTCCCTGAATTCTAGTATGTTTCCATAATGCCACCAGATTTGCATCCCTAAAACATAAGTTTGGTGAAATTAAAAAGGCCAGGGTGGATCGTTGTTGCTTTCAGTACAAAATCAAAATAAAGTATTTTGACTTATAAAAGCTTTTACAATCTGGCTGCACCAGGTTGTCATTTGAATATATTCTGTCCTTCCTTCCATTTCCCCTCTCCTCCCTGTTCTTTCAACCACAAACTTCTCCCTGTTTTCTGCTTTCCAACCTTTTAACAAGTTTCAGGCCATTAAGCATATTAATTCCTTTCCCTCAGACTCTATTTGGGGGGATGTTGTTTCTTAAATTTACTTTAGAAAATGTGATTTAAACAGTTTCATAATTATTCTTTTAAAAAAATATATAATTGGCAGGCTATTTATAAAACTTTTTACCCAAAAAGTACAGAATAAATATTATTTTTGAGCACAATGAGGAACTTAAAAAAGAAAAAAAAATGAAGATTGAGTCAGGGAAAATTAGACTTGATAGAAATAATTCAAAAGCAGAAATTATAATGAATTAAGTTGCACATTATATATTGTACTACATATGCATATAATATGCTTTGATCATATCCTCTCTCCCTACCACCTTCTCTTGTCCTCTTTCTTCCCTTATCCTGGTCCCCCTACCCTAGTAGTCCCTATTGTACTTTCATGTCATTTTAAAATTTTTTTATTCTTTTTCCAGCTTCCACATATGAGAGAAAACATGTGGAACTTATCTTTCTGAGACTGGCTTATTTTGTGTAACAGTTCCAGCCATTTACCTACAAATGACACGATTTCATTCTTCTTTATGTCTGAATAGTATTGCACTGTGTGTATGTGTGTATATATATGTATATATATATACATACCACATTTTCTTTATCCATTCATTCATTGATGGGTATCTAAGCTGATTCCATAACTTGTTTATTATGAATAGTACTTCAATAAATATGGGTATGATACTTTGCTGAATTTGTTCAGGAGTGGATCATATGGTAGTTCTATTTTTAGTTTCTTGAGGAAAAATAACTGTACTAATTCATATTACCACAAACAGTGTGTGTTTCTTTTTCTGACTGGGTGTGAGATGGAATTGCAAAATAGTTTTGATTTGAATTTCTTTGATGGCTAATGATGTTGAACATTTTATATATACTTATTGGCCATTTGTAGTACTCTCAAGAAGTGCCTGTTCAGCTCATTTTGTATATTTATTGGTTGGATTACTTGCTCTTCTGGTGTTAAATTATTTTAGTTCTTTATATATTCTGGATATTAATCCTGTTTAGATGAATAGCTGGCAAAGATTTTCTCCCATTTTGTAGGCTGTTTCTTCACTCTGTTCATTTTTTTTTTCTGTAAAGGAGTCTTTTTAGTTGAGGGCATTATATTTGTCAATTCTTGCTGTTGTTTCTTGAGCTATTTGAGTCCTATTCAGGAAAACATTGCCTGTACCAATTTTCCCTACATTTTCTCTAGTAGTTTCAAAGGTCTTGGTATAATTTTAAGGTCTTTGATCCATTTTGAATTTATTTTTGTACAGATTGAGAGAGGGGGATCTAGTTTTTTTTCTACAGGTATTTTTCCCAGCACCATTTGTTGAAAAGGCCATCATTTATTCAGCATGTTTTTGGCTACTTTTTTGAGAATCCGATAGCCATAGATGTTTGGGTTCATTTCTGCTCTATTCCATGGTTGCATGTTTCTGCTCTTGTGCTAATATACATGGTGTTTTGTTACAATGGTTCTTTAGTATGTTTTAAAATTAGGTATTATGATGCCTCCAGCATTGTTCTTTTTGCTCAGGATTACTTTGGCTATTTAGGGTTTTCTGTGCTTCTGTGTGAATTCTCAGATTGCTTCATCTAGTACTGTAAAGAATGTCTTTGGTATTTTTGTGGGAATTGCATTGAATCTATAACTCACTTTTGGCAGTATGACCATTTTAACAATATTAATTCTCTAAATCCAGAAACATGGGAGGGCTTTCCATATTCTGGTGTTGTTTTCAATTTTTTTCTTAAGTGTTTTATAATTTTCATTGTACAGGTCTTATCTTCTTGATTAGGCTTACTCCTAGGTGTTTTGTTGTTGTTGTTGTTTGTTTGTTTGTTCATTTTCTGATTCTCTCTCAGCAAGTTCATTATTGGTGTATAAAGAGCTACTAACTTGTTTGTTGATTTTTGAATTCCTGATACTTTGATGAATTTGTTTATCAGTTCTAAGAATTTCTTGGTAGATTCTTTAAGATTTCTTAGGTGTAGAATCATGTCATCTGCAGATAGGAATAATTTGACTTCATCATTTCCTATTTGTATCCCTTCTCTCCCTCTTGCCTGATTATTCCGGCCAAAGTTTCCATTACTATATTGAATAAGAGTGGGCACTCTTATCCTGTTCTTGATTTTACAGGAAATGCTTTTGGTTTTCCCCCATTTAGTATGATATTGGCTTTGGATTTGTCAGACTCAGATTTCTGAACTGCTGGGATTACAGGTGTGTGCCACCACACCCAGCCCTTGACCATTTTTAACATCATTCTTTTGAATTCTTTGGTTTTTAATCCATTTCAATATCTTTGAAAGTCAGTTACTAGAGAAATATAAATTTTGAGAGAGTCATGTTGCTTTGTTTTTTTCACATTTCTTATGTTTCTACGTTGAGATTCGTATCTCTGCTGGGATGGATCTCTCTTCCAATTTTATGTGTGGGCCCTCTTAAGGAACAGCTGTCTCTTGATTATGTGTCCTGGGGTGTCATTTGGTTGTATAGTGTTGTGTTTAATTCCATCTGGACTTTGTACTAGTTTCCTTATTACTTCTTGGCTGTGATTAGGAGGTTTTGACATAGATCATACTGGGTCAGAACCCGAGGGTCACATTTTCCCTGTAGTTGAATCTCCGGCAGTTCCGGTTGTATGTTATAGACAGCAGAAAATGTGAAGATGCCCTCTGTGATTATCCCACCTATCTTATCAGCAGTATACCGTCTGAAAAGGCATGGGAACAACCTATATAAAGGTCCCTTGTAGGTGCAGTCTCCTTAATCTTTGTGTTGTTTTCTCTCTGCTGAAACTAAAGGGGTAGATGTGCAGGATCATGTCTTCAGCCTCCAGTCCCAACCATGCCTTCTTAGGGCTGGGTTGTGAGCAGGAACTTTTATATCTCCTGTTTTGTTGAAATATTTGTTAAGGTTCCCCCAGCAGAAATGCATTCAAGGAGTGTTTCTCATCACACACCCAGGGCTAAGCTAATGCTGAGTATTACAGCACATCTGAGTCTCCAGAACCCTTTGTGAAAGCCATTCGGAAGTCAGAATAACTCTGCACTGGGTCAGGAGGCACAGGCAGGCCTTCTACAATCCACCACCACAACTCTGACACTCTGAGACCCAGTTCCCATGTGCCTGCTCAGTCCCCTGTTCTTCAACAGGTCACCAAACCACCAGCTTAATGGGGAAGTGAGTTCCATTTTCTTCTGTGTCATTAACTGGTCATCCATTCATTAAACAGATTTTTCAGCAGGATTGTTTCAGTTACATTCCTCCAGGGTCAAACTGGGTAATGATAGTCAGCAGCTAAGACAGTGCAGCAATGCCTGCTCTGGGTTCCTGGAGAAAGAGAAGAAAGCTCAGATACGACCTCTCAAGGCACTCCCGGGTATAGTACTACAAGCATATGTTGAGAATTTCTCTGAAACCAGCCTGTTTGCAAATCCCCAAACAGCCGTGTTCTCATTATCCCTTCACACCGTGCCAAATTCTGTGCTAGTTGTGTGCACTTCAGCATTTTCCCACAGTCACTTACCTCAGTGAGCAATGCTCTCCAGTAGTTTTTTGTTGTTGTTGTTGTTCCTTTTTTCTTTCTTTCTTTCTTTTTGTTCTAAGGACACTCTTCAGTCAGTGTCACCTCAATATTTGTTCCTCTGTATTCTCTCTACACATACTTTAAAATTTTTCACTTTGTCTTTGATATTTATAATTTCTGTAGTTATGAGTTTGGGTACTCAGCCTTTTTAACATGCAATATTTTATTTTTTAGTTCTCTGAATTAACAAGAGCAATATAATGTGTGATCTTTTGTTCCACATGATTTAATGAGTTTGACTTTTCTGATCCAACAGTTTGCATGTTCCAGCACTAATCTATCTAAGTTTAGCTGTTTTCTTGGTATTTCCATGTGTTTTGTATTTTGTAGGTTTTCTTCATTTCCTTATTCTAATAAAATTCAATCTGTGGTTTTTTTTTTTTCCTTTTTGCTTGTGAGGTTTCCAGGAGAAACACAGTGAATATTTGTCTCTCAACTACTACCTAAGTTTTGAAGATTTTCATTTACATTTACATTTTGAGGGTTTTATTTTAATAGGATAAAAAGAAGAGAAATGTCAGTTGATGAGCTTTTCTCTGTTTTACATGAGCATCCTCCTATCTTTCGGAGGCAAAACCTACAAAATCCCCTTTTTTTCCTCTAGTTATAAGTTTTAGACACTTTCCAGGTTAACTCTAACATTTTTCAAGTCATAGCTTTAAAAATAGCATTACCTGTCTAATAGCATTCTTGCATGTATATTAATGACTTTACATTTTTTAAGTTGTAGATGGACACAATACCTTTATTTTATTTTATTTTTAATGTGGTGCTAAGGATCGAACCCAGTGCCTCACACAAGCTAGGCAAGCGCTCTGCCAGTGAGCTACAACTGAAGCCCAATGACTTTACTTTTGAGCCTCTTTATATACCGGTATTAGTCGGCTTTTAATTGCTGTGACCAAAACACCTGACAAGAATAACTTAGAGGAGGATAAATTTATTTTGAGCTCCTGGTTTCAGAGATTTAGATCATGGTGGGCTGAATCCAATACTCTGGGCCCATCTGACTGGTGGTGGCCAGGAAGTAAAGAGAAGAGGGTAGAGGCCAGAGGAAAGATAAACTCTTCCAGGGCACATCCCCAGTGACCCGCCTCCTCTAGGTTTACCCCACCTGCCCACAGTTACCACCCAGTCAGTCCACTCAAATTAGGATGGACTGATTAAGTTATAGCTCTCACAATCCAATTATTTCACCTCCAAGCATTTCTGCATTAACATAGGAGCTTTTGCGGACACTTCATATCCAAACCAATCTTCTCTTTAATGTTGTAGTTTTGATGGTTTACACAGTGACAGCTATGTATAGGCTGTATATTCTGCATAAGAACATATCTTACTAAAGAAATATACCGTAAGCCTGCTATTTATACTATTTGAGATGCAAGAATGTAAATCTTGTGTAATAGAGAATTGTGATATATCTAATTTATTTGCATCTGTCTCTAACACTGTCCAAATATAGAAGACATTAACTCAGAGTAACCAAAAGATTAACTGAGAATTACTGAAACCATGTCATCAAATTAAAGCTGTGTGTAGTTGGCCATCCAGTTAACTCCAAGGAACAACATATATAGCTTTGAATACTTTAAAATAAGATTATGATTTTATTTCAAAACTTTCCTAAGAATTTATTGAAATACTTAATCAAGAGAATGACTTGTCTGAATATGTCCTTGATTTTCCCCATTATGTTGAACTACTGTGCATCCAAGCAATTTTTATTCCACATCTGTGTGGCTGGTATTATTAACAGCAGAGAATTCATAAACTTTATGCCTAACACTGCCCAAAATTCAGGCCTTCAAGTAAGTGATCTTGTCAACTCTATTTAAATAAAGCGGTTGCTCTTTAACAACTCCTCTCAGCTGATTGCCTACCTCCAGCTGGTCTTGCCATTGGAGGTGCCTTTTTCTCCATTGAAAAGTCCTGCTGAATTTCCTTCAGCTGCTTTGTTGTCTAGTTGTAAGGATGTGAGGAATGAGCAATGAAGTGGAAGAGCTCAGTGAAAAAGAAAGGAGAAATACACTTTTTTTCTGTAGGTATAGTTACCAGTTGTATCCACACTGAAATAAACCCTCCTTTAGTAGGAAGCATGGTTCCCCTTATAATTCTTTACTAGAATATTAAGTATCTTTCCAAGTCACAACTACTCCTTGGAGTATTTTAATGTACAATCAGTCACATGGTGTCTTGTCTTGTCTTTTTCTTTTTTCTTTTTTCTTTTCTTTTCTTTTTTTTTTTTGAGAGAGAGAGAAAATTTTTAATATTTTATTTTTTAGTTTTTCTGCGGACACAACATCTTTGTTTGTATGTGGTGCTGAGGATCAAACCCGGGCCGCATGCATGCCAGGCGAGAGCGCTACCGCTCGAGCCACATTCCCAGCCCCGTATCTTTTCAATCCTATCAATTTTATTTGCTGTCTTAGAATATTCTTAACTTTGAAACGTTAAAATAATTATTAGGAAATTGATAAACTATCTAAATGTAATTAAAATTATAAAAAGGTATAGAACCTTTTACATTTGCCTTTAGTGTAGAATAAACAGCTATACTCTAGTAATTGCTAGTCCTTAAATATATCTTAAAATCTGGCTTCTTAAGCTGGGAGAGGTTCTATGAACTTGCTACCAGATGTCTCCTGAACATGAAATTTTGTGTGTATTATATTTTATTTTCTAGAAAGAATAATAGTAGCTTTAATTATTCTCAGAGTCAGAGGTTTTTGAACTAGAAAAAATTTGTAACTATTGTCTTACAGTAATTGGTAACTAGTTAAGAGAAATATCAGAGAATTAAAATGTAAGGGTTTGGGCTAAGGTTATAGCTTAGTGGTAGAGCACTTACCTAGTATGTGCAAGACTTCCTGAGTTCAATCCCCAGCACTGCCAAAGACAAACAAATAAACGAATGGTGATTGGCTTAATTTACAATGCCTTTTAAATTTATGTATTTATTTCCTTTTAGAAAGTGATATATATTGCAACACAACAATTAGGCTTACAACACTGGTCACCTCAGAAAGAGAAGATCGTTCAGTTTTATAATCAACTTCAGGTAAGTGCAAAATAGCATTTGGTAAATTTTGCCTGGGTTTTAATAGGTACAGTCAAGGAGGAAAATAACAACAGTTATAACGAAAGAGGGCTATCATAATATTCTTAAAACTGAGGGACATTGATTAACTGTCCCCTTAGTCTTTATCATTTGACCCCTGATCATAACTCTCAACAAATTAATCTTTTCACCTTTATCCCCTTAACAAGTTTTTGTAAAAACCCTACAAATATGGTGTTAAATATTCTAAATCCCATTGCTACACCTTCTTTGATTCATCCATGAATGAACTATTTGCAAAAACAGTAGAATGTACCTATCTCTGATTACTAGTTAAAACTGTACATCCTTTCAATGTTTTTTAGCCCTGACTTTTCAGATTATGTAATGTACTTATTTTTTCAATTGGGTTGTTCATCTTTTTCTTAATAAACATAGATTTTTTTCATCACACATTTTTTAAAAATATTTTTTAGTGTTGACGGGCCTTTATTTTATTCATTTATTTATATGCGGTGCTGAGAATTGAACCAAGTGCCTCAAACATGTGAGGCAAGCACTCCACTACTGAGCCACAACTCCAGCCCCTCATCACATATTTTTATATCATAATTCTATGGTTATATGCACTTCAAACACATTCTCTTAAATAATTGGCTTTTCTGAAATTTCTATGGTGTTGACTTATAAGAAGACACTTTTAATGCAATAAGGTCCACCACTCTTTTTCTTTATGAGCTGCATTTTTCATATCCTATTTTTAGAAATTTTTAACACTATTTTTGGAAATATATATTTTCTGTAATTTTTTTCTAAAAGTTTTAAGTTATTTGTATTTTCCATTTTTAAATTGTACAAAATTTATTTTTCTTTCTTTATATTTATTTATTTTTCAAAATTTATTTTTCTTAAAGACATCAGATAAGGATCCAAAAATGGATAATCAACTTTCCCAAGAGTTTTCCTCACTGATTTGCTACTTCTATAGTATATCAAGTCTTCATGTCTAATAGGGTTTTCTTTATTGCTTTTTTCTATATTTTGTTCTTTGGTCTATTTCTCTGTTTCTATCCCTATACCACATAGTCTTAAATATCATAACTGTTTAATAGCTTAAATATTATAGTTTTTCATATCTGGTGGTAACTAATTTCCCACCTTTGTTATTTTTGAAGTTTTCTTTCTTCAAAATTTCGACCTTTTCTCTTTCTTAAGAGTTCTTAAAACCTGTCTGTGGACTTCTATCAAAATATCCTATTCAGATTTTGAGGTAGAATTTAATAGTTATGGCGAGAGTTTTCAACTTGTGATATTACATCTTTTCCTCCATACGCATATTTAGTCAAGACTTTATGTAGCTTGTCAAGTTAACCTCTCACTGGTTCATATTGGCAAAAGAGAGTAGAATCCTTGGTCAGAGACAAAACACACAACAATAGCAGTAGCCACAATAATATCTTCCATGCCATTTCCTTAAGACTTACTTCCCACAGTAAGTCATACCTGCAGGTAGGTCATATCTGCACATGTGGTAAGCTGGGTTACAGAAGACCCCTGAGCTTAGGAACCCCCCAATTTTAGAAGGGTACTAAGGGCAAAAAAAGGCCCAATCTTTGTCCCTGGATGAGACATTATTCTTAAATTCTGGGTAGCAAATAAATTTGCCCTCATATAATGATGTAGCTCAGTGGTAGAATACATGGGTTTAATTCCTAGCATACACATACACACAAAAAAAATAAATCCTGTATCCTGATAGGAGACACTGTTTGGTATACAAATATTTTTGAAAAGATAAATTCTGGATAAAACTGCCAATGCTTCTGCTCAGAATATATTTAGAAATCTTTCAGAAACACCTAAAGCATTGCCTCCCAACAACATCTGCTCCTCATTTATACATCCACTTGGCTTCTGATCAAATTTCCTCATGAGTACACTATTCTGTTGACCACTCTGATTAATCTTACTATCAGGGACTAGGACCAAAAGTATATTCATTTTAGCTCATACCAGACAAAATTAAGGCTTCTGTTAATAGGATACCAAATAGCAGGATAAGGCCAACCTAAAGTATTGATCTCAATCATTCCTATCCAAGGTCTCAAGCCCAAACAGTTGAACATATTCCATAAACCATCAGAATCTACCTTAGAAAGTCAGATGGATTTCTCCTTAAGTTTCTGTATTGACCATACCTGTTGATCTCTGAAGCATTGATCCATACTTAGCAATATTTATTGTCAACTGCACAGATTTTTGCCTTTACCCACAAGGAGAAAGTGTCTAGTACAATTTTATCATTCATAACAATAGTGGCCAGTGAATTGAGGCTGATCTGAATGCCTTACAAGGTCAAGGTGCTATTCTCTTAAATCCTGGATGCTTGCCATTCATAACTACCCTTAAATTGTAGTTACATTGTTTTTAAGGAGGAGTCAGATTAATATCTGACTTTTATGGGAGAAATGCAACACTAAGGGTGCACATGTTTCACTCAGAAGGAAAGTGGGTTTTTACAGTTACTGGGTTTCCTAAGTAGAACCTATAGCACTTTAAGGTGAGGAATGGTACAGGTTGACTGTCCTCCAACATGGGTTCTCAATTCAACTCTAATAATTAAATCTGGTTCTTATTTTTGAAGTGACTGGGTGGACAATCAATTTGCCATGCCGTCAGCATGTCATTTATCATTCCATGGAATGATCTAGCACTAGGAACAGAGATGAGAAAGACATTCAAGACATCAGGAGGTATTGACAGAGTTTTGCTCAGGAGATGCAAGAGCTGAGCCCATCCCTGCTATTTCTGATAGACTCTCCAGTAAAGTTAAGCAGAATAATAATTAAATCCTGTCAGTTGAATTAAGATAGTCCCATCAGGGATTTTGCCTTTTTGAAGAAGGTTAGAAAGACACATATGAAAGACAAAAGATATTCTATATCCCTTCTTGCCCTCTGATCCCCCCAGAATCTGAGGCATTTCTTCTAGGTTTTTTTTCTGTTCCTGTACTACCACAACACTGGTGTATCCCATTTCAGTAATTTAACCATAGTAATTTTCCAAGCATCCCCTGCTTGCACCCAGACCTCTCATTTTGAAGGATTATATGCAAGAGGAAGAGGGATATTTTCATAAAATTTACATTGGTAATGTAATCAGTCAAGTTGTCATTATCCTTGTGATCTAATACCATATCAATCTAAGAGAATCTAGATAGTTGAAACAGGATTAAATTTTACCCTTCTAGTCTTCATTTTTATCATCCTATCGCATGGAATATGTATCAACTAGAGTGTCATGGTGTTGTCATTAGGGAGAAGAAAGAAGCACCATGCCCAGGAATTTTCAGACTGAATCCCAACTTTTCAAAATATGTCTATATAATTCCCCATATCTTTTATATTAATCATTACTCAAGAAGCAGATGAAAGGACATGATCTTTTCCTGAAGACACTTACATTCAGTGATTGAACTTCCTTGGTAAGATATACAGGCAAAGAGAATGTGGGGGAGATAGAATCAAACAGAGTAAATTTTTGAGGAGACTGTTCCAATACTTAATAATACCAGATGCTTGTGGACTTTAGGGAGTATGAAAGGTCCATCAAATCCCTTGATCATTTGTCCATTGTTTAGTGACTTTTGTGATAAAAGGTACTCCATTGTCAGATTGCAAATGGTCCAGAAATCTACACATGTAATATAAATTAGTTTCAAGAAACAATGATATGGCCAGAGTCTGCTGATTAGATAGGAATATCAACCCCATACCTTAAATAATTTCAACATTAGTGAGATATCATCAATAGCCCTTTGGGGAATAGAGATCTAATGTTGTCAATGTGCCAGGACTCTCTTTGAGTTCATGCCCTATTCATTGTGGCTTCCCACCCATATCAACTTTTGGCAAGAGTCATTAAGTGTGGTAGTAGCTTCTGCATCAGAAACACACAGTTCTTTTTTATGATAGTGTTGTTTTAAGGTGAAAATTTTAGAATGTTCACTTGCAATGTTCAGATGTTGGATTCACATAGAGGTTATGGCAATCTGGACAGGGTAAGCTCAATTAGCAGGTTGGTTCTGGGCAATATCATCAAAAATGAACCATGGGCCCATGAGTGAATTAGATTAGTTGGTCATCAATCATCATTTATTTCCACACTTCACAGCCTCAAGCCCGGCGGGGGGCGGGGGCATGTTTAATCTTCTAGACTGAAATTTTTTTTCAAGTGGCAGACCAAATATCTAAGCCATTGGTAAAACCCAAGAGTGAGAGTTGTGTCCACCAAGTAAAGTGAACAAATCTTCTGGCTCTGAATCTGACCAGTGAGATGCCTAAGGGTTCAGTTTAGCTGAACCATCAGTAAACCAGACCCAGGCACTTTATCCAGGGAATCTTTATGAATCAAGATCTCATTGAACCAACAGTGTTATTCTAAAAAGTCAAGTGGGGGATGAAGTTTACCCCAGGGAGATAACTGCCACATTTTCATGATTCACTAGAACAAGGCTAGCTGTGTTCTTGAATATTCAATTTCCATTTGATAAGAAAGGCTTTTTGGACCATTCTCACCTTGCCAAATGTAGCATCCAGGACTGTCTGATCAGAGAATTACAAGAACTCCGTGAGGCTACAGAGACTGTAAAGTTAGTGAATATATATTCTATGTTTATCCATATTTGAATTTTAATGTATATTTATGTCATTATTTTAAAAAATAATAATTTTCTTACTGCTATTACAATCTTCCAGAAGACATGGTAACAACCAAATGTTTTAGTCATCTCAGGTTGCTATGACAAAAATCTATAGAATGGGTAGCTTAAACAACATTTATTTCTTACAGTTATGGGGGCTGGGTAGCTCAATATCAAGGTACTGGCAGATTCCATGTATGGTAAGATCCTCATCCTGGCTTGTAGATGGCCTCACTCTTGCTTCGTCCTCATATAGTGCAGAGTAAGATAGGACACATGCAAGAGCAGAAGACTCCTGATGCTTTTAGCATTAGCCTATCTAAGTAAAAGCAGAAGTCAGATTATAATGGATTGAACAGCAATTTGAAGGAAGAATCTGCGGATATAAGCAGATTTTTTTAAATAAACTTTAAATTATTTATTAATGTTAATTTTGTTTTAGGCTTGCGTTGGTGTGATGTTAGTGGGCCCAACGGGTGGAGGAAAAACAACAATCAGAAGAATTTTAGAAAAAGCACTAATACTATTACCAGTTGTAGACATGTTATCAATTAAGCAAAGGGAATCTTATTCAAAGGTAAATGTTCCTATAAATAAAATGTTTCCCCTATGTTCATATTTTCTACTTATATTAACATTTTATTTTTTTCCATAAATATTTTCATTACTTATTAAACTTATTGCTAGTAATTTGATAGTTATGTATCATTGTAATGATACAAACTAGTGTGAAATAAAACTATTGAATTGTATATTTGTTTTGTATATTTTGTATATTTGTTTTGTACTTAGTAACTTTTCTAAATGGATTGTAAGTTTCTTTTTTGGTATCAATTAAATCATCATCAAATCAAAATAATTTTTGTCTCTTTTCTAATATTTATGTTACTTATATGCTTATCTTACTAAATTGATTAACCAAAACAATGTTAACTATAGGATATGTTCCTTACTTTATTAGGAATGCATTTAATATGAAGCTTACTCTTGACATCTGACAAGTATTTTTTATCATACTTTGGAAATTTCTATTCCCCAAAACTTTGTTGTTGTTGTTGTTGTTAGAATTTATTAACTGATTTTCAGCTAAAATATTCAGTTAAAATATTTTAACTGGTTAATGTAATAAGCTATGTTGATGGATTTACAAACATGGTTATCCTTGAGTTTTTAGAATAGCTCCAGTAAAAATAGACTCCAGTAAACATTATATGATTGAGTTACTTAATTTAAATGTATTCTAAAAGTTTTAGAAAGTCAGGTTCTGAGTTGTGTGAATCTTTTTCTCTGTTAGTATAAGCTACCCTGCTTAAAAATCATTTGTATAGTACTTTATCTTTTATCCTTTCCTCTAAATTTCCTTTCTCAACAGATTTCAATAAGTTCTTAAGAAATATTATAATTAAAGAGGTACATTATCTCAGAAATAATAATAATAATCATAACTCATATTTGCAGAGTACTAAATATGGGTCCAGTACTGTGCTAAAGCACTTTTGTTTAAATTATCTCGTTTAATCCTCACAACAATGTTATAGGTAATAATTTAAAACGGTTTTTTAGTATAAAAGTAGTATGTACAATTGTGAGAAGTTTGGAAAATAAATAAATAATAATGACCAAGAAAGAATGAACTGAAAACATTTTTTCTTGTTTTACTACAGTTTTGAAAAGTATTCACTTAGAAAATTTAATCTTCTGCACTTGAAAATTTTGAGCTACTATCATTATCTGAACTGCTGTCCTTAGTGTCACTCATATAGGATCTATTTACCTTTAATACTGCAGTGCTCTAAACAAGCCACAATCAACTTTCAGAAATACACTGACATTGCACCAACACCAAGAATTCCAAGCTTAAGTTTCATAGTGCAGGAGAAGGCAAATGTGTATCCATATGCCACTGGTAAATACACTGCTGCTATTTATCTTTTAACAGTGTGATGAACAGAATTATTCCATGCAAATCATGCAAAAAAAAAGTCATAAGCCAATTTGGGGGACTAAAAAATAGGATGTGACAATTATGTGGTAATGAAGATTATACGGTGAAATACCGTAGATGAAATAGAGACCAGTTCTTCAGGCAATACCCAGACAGATTATAATGTTGCAAATATGATGTACTTGAGTGACTATTCTGACAAAGTTTCCTACTCCCTCTCTCATTTGTACATCAACCCTGGTTCCAGATATATCACATCCCATCTTAAATATTGTGTTCCTAAATGCAGCACATTGAGATTTTCACCCTGCAACACACACCTCAGATAATTATTTGTAAGTTTAGAACTTTTTAAAATAATGATTTATAGATTGTGGATAACTTTAATTAATCAATTTTTACTGTTTCTTGTAAATCACCACGTTCATAGAGATTTTTTCTTTGATGGAAAAGTCCTTCTAAATCATTTTGTTAATACTGCACAAATCAAAAAGTTGTACTATAATGTATTTTTAAACCACACAGGATTCATTCCAGATTTCAGTAAAAAAAGGAAAAGTAGATCTTTGTGTCTTAAATCCAAAGTGCATCACTCTTAATGAACTATATGGACAATTGGATCCTAATACTATGGAATGGACTGATGGCTTATTATCAGCAACATTTCGAAATTATGTGTACTCAAAGAAAAACATGGATATTGGACTAAATTCAAGAATCTCAGGTTTATCTGCTGTAAGTACAGAATGAATATTTTTATTTGCTAATATGGATTAAGTACTTATGCAATGATTAATATTAAAACATCACTAGATACCTTTTAGTTTAAAAGTAAATTTAAAGGATTATGAACAGTTTTAAAAAAGAAAATTATAAATTATTTTAAAAAAAGAAAATGTGCCATTGCACTTTAAAATGGTCAGTAAACAATTGAGTGAAGTTAAAGGTTTTGCCTTGAAAGAAACACAAAGTGAATCCAATTTTAAATAGAAAATAATATAGTGATCCTAGCACCAACAATTTACCTTACAAATTAACAAGGTAAAAAATATGCACCAAAATATCAATGATAGTGGTCTATACATGGTGGAAATTCAAAGACTTATGCTTTCTTCCTGTGCTTTGATGTATTATTTGAGTATTAAACAACAAACATGTACTATTTTTGCATGGGGAGCAAGAAACAAAAAAATAATATTCTAAAAGGAAATAAGCAGTAGTTGCAAGTCAGTTACTTGCAACTTATAGTATGCTGGTTATGTGTCAGCCTTTTCAGCTGGAGAACCTCCTGCCTTTCATGTTTCTCTCACTCAAGAAAGCATACTAACATATCACTCATTGTGGTTGGGAATTTTCAGATAAAAACTTTAACATTATTGATTGCTTATTTTAGGTTTTCAAACTTGGTTCCTCTGATTCAGCAGATATTGATGATACTGTTTTTCTGAATGAGTTAGAGAAAATTGAAAAATGCCCACAAATTCCAAGTAAGTATTTTTATTAAATTCATGAAGATGATTAATAATACAGAAGACATATTCTAAACTGATATGACCTATTTTGTATCTTTAAATATATTTTGCCTAGTGCTATTTGGCTTGCACAATTTATTATTTCCTCTTGCGTTTATTTAAATTTTGTGTGTCTCACCATATATTATAATATATATTATTATGATATAGAAATATTAAGACTTAAATAGTTCTTCATTTTATAAATGACCATTGGTTCTTCATAAAAACCAAGTAGATATTAATGGCAAAAATAAATAATGATGTGAAAAACAGCAGGGCCTCTGAAGTGGGACTCCAAACAATTGCTATATTCCCAGGAAAAATCATGTAGCCCTCTGCAAATCTGTCTAAAATGAATGCACACCTTATATGTACTAGCCACTTTGCTCTGTGTCAGTGTGACAGAATGTGTATTTGACATGATTCCTACTCCAAAGGAGCTGACAGTCTACTAGAGGATCCCCAACCATTGTTTTCCCCACTCCAATTGAACCTCATACCAACACATCCACTGTTGGTACATTTATGATCCAGACTTTAAAAGAGACTTCTGCTGCTGCTTCTACTTCATCAAGTATTTGTATGTCATTTTCGATAGGATATAATGATTGGAGCATAATAAGTTTTCTTTATGGGGTTTTAGGACAATATCTAGGGTGGGTATTTCAGTCAGCCAGAAACCATCTTAGCAGTGATGGCTGTATGAATCCTAGCTCTCCTCAGGGATACTTTAATGTCTTAGGTGGTTAGCTATGTTCTGTCTTCAGAATGACCTATTCACACTTCCCTTATTCTGACCAATGGATTTTCTAAAATTGTAGAAATTGTGTTGGCTATGGAATGCTAAATATCATTGCATAACTGTCACAGATTTTATGCCATTTTTTTGCAAAAAAAAAGTAGAATATGACCACATTATATGAAGCTTTTTTAAAAAAAAATTGTGCCAGTATAGTAGAAACTATTTTTTACCACGCTATCTTTGGTGCAAGATTAGGATGCATGAAATACTCATAATTCAGTTGTATTGATTATACAGTGAAATATAGTGTATTCTATGATCTGAGGTTTATATCCCAAATTCTTGTAACTCCTAACCCTCAAGTTAATGCTATTAGGAGGTGGGGCTTCTGGGAAATGATTAGGTCATGAAGGCTCTGTCCTCATGTTTGAAATTAGTGCCCTTATTAAAAAAAAAAAAAGGCCACTTAATGGGACCACAAAGAGGACACAAAGAGGAAAACAAAAAAGATACAAAGAGGAAAAAGCACCCTTCTGTGAACCAAGAGGATGGCTCTCACCAGACACTGAATATGCTGGCATCTTGATATTGGACTTTCAAACCTCCAGAGCCATAAGAAATAAATTTATGTTATTTATATGTAACTCGGTCTAAGGTGTTTTGTTAAAGTGGCCCAGATGGACTAGAAAGAGGAATGTGGAAAGACGAGTAAATGGATTCCAAGTGTGATATACTCCAAACTTTTCATTTATTTGATTATTTGAAGAGTATCTCTTTCCCTTTGCTATTTACTAAGAGTAGCATGCTAAAAATTACTCATGAGTGGAAGGAGCAAACTCACTCTTATGGTGTTAGATACAAGATGACCCCCAAACACCTCATGTGGCAATGCAGGAATGTTCAGAGGTGCAATGATTAGATTATGAGAGCTGAATTCTGATTGGTGGAATAGTTCATTTGGTGGATTAATAATTTAAGTATCATTTGGTGGTAACTGTAGGCAGGAGGGAGTAGGGCACTGAGGGCATGCCATTTTGTCCCTGGCTCCTTGCTCAGTCTCTCTGCTTCCCAACTGCCGTGAGCTGAGAAGATTTCCTCCACCACACTCTTTTCACCACATTGCTCTGCCTCACTGACAGGCCCAGAGCAATGGAATCAGCTGACCATTGACTAAATCTCTGAAACTGTGAATCCAAAATAAACTTTACCTCCTCTAAATTGTTTTTGTCAAGTGTTTGAATCACAACAATGAAAAGCTGATTGACATACTTACAAATCATATTATTATGAAAAAGATCATAAATCGGTCTTCTATCCACATTTTAAAGATTAATTATCCAATTCATGTCTAAACAATACCTAGTGTTTTCTAAGACAATTTTTCATTTTAGAAAATATTCTCTAAAACAGAAAATTTGCAAGATTGTAATAAAAAATAGAGATTATTCTCAGTTATATTACCTTTTACCTTATTTTTCTCTCTAGATTTTGACTGGCAGTGGATTATCTTAGATGGTCCAGTGGATACTTTGTGGATAGAGAATCTAAATTCTGTGTTTGATGAAACTAGAACACTGTTCCTAGCAAACAGTGAGAGAATAGTTTTAACTAGCAAGATAAGAGTTATTTTTGAAATGGATACTCTCTCTCAGGCCAGTCCTGCTACTGTCAGCCGGTGTGCAATGATATATATGGTAAGTTTTCAAAAAATTTTCTTAACAAAGAAAACGTGTTGTTTAGGATAGTAGCCAGTCACTATTGATAGCACTTTAATGTTTATTTTAATTTTACCTCTGGATCCAGAAGCACAACCCAGTAGTTCTGAAGTTTTGTGACCCCAAAGTCTCATAATCTAGAATTGAATATGAATGCATTTATTACTTAATTCAATTATTCTCAATAATTGAAGTGTCAATATTTTCCCCAACTGTAAGTAGTGCTTTCAATTAGACAGGTTAGGCTGCTGGTGTGAACTAATTTTCCAACAGAAGAAATATTTCCCTGAGACCTTTTCTTACTCTTAGAACTTGGAAAACACATTGTCAAGACAGTAGTGAGGAGGTAAAAGACACCACAAAAAAATAAGTATATTCTATAAATGAAATTAATTATTAGCTATGATTAGCTCTGTGCTATAATATAGCTAATTAAGTCCAGGATTACTTCTAGGTAAGCAGTTCTCCTCACCACATACACTGCCTCAATACACCTCCCTACACATACTCCTCCAATTGCCTGTTGTCTGATAAAACTATGGTCAGAAACATATATCATTCCAGAGAACGATAATTACTTGAGCTGTTTTTGACCACTTGCCCTTTAATGAATAATAACTCTAAGCCATATTTGGCAGAGGACACTGATAAAGCAAAAAGGAAGTAGGAGGACAGCATATTTTTTAATTTACTTAAGATTTTCTTATGCTTTTTATTATTAGGATCCTGTTGATCTGGGATGGGAGCCTTATGTCAAGTCATGGCTTTCAAAAACCTCTAAAATCATGAATCAATCAGGAGTGGAGTGTCTTGAATTCTTGATTCACAAAAGTGTCACTGATGGACTAAAATTTATAAAGAAGCATCAGAAATTTCAGCCATTTCCTGTACAGGACATAACAGTTATTATAACTCTCTGCAGAATTCTTGATGCTTTCTTTGAATTCATGAGTAGAAACGGAGGATTTGGAGAAGGTGAGTTTTTCCCCCTAAGTCACATTAATGATATTACAGCTTTGCCAGTCAATAGCAATTTATCATCTTCTGTAAAAGAAAATGAAGCCAGAAATTTTCAATTTATTTGGACCAACAGCAAATATGCACATGGAACAAACTAAAAATCCTTCATGGGGAGCATATCAATGAAAGTAAATTAAAATCATACACAATATTATAAGATGACAAAAAAACCTGAAGAACCCTTTGAGGTTTTCTATTAGGGAAGATTTTTTTTTTGCCATGTTTCAACAATTCTTTGAGTTAATAGGGAAAACTGTTAAAAATTCTAATTGTAAGTTATAATCATCCAAAAGCATAAATATGCAAAGTAGTAAAACATATATAAGAAGAAACCAGTAGATTTAGAAATCAGTATAGCATTATGAATAAAGGCAACTCAAATATCCATCCTAATTTTATTTTAGAGTGAAAGTCATCTTGACCAATAAAGAAGAGAGGTTATTAATTGTAAAAGACAGATTAAGAATATAGTGTGTGTGTGTGTGTGTGTGTGTGTGTGTGTGTGTGTGTGTGTGAGAGAGAGAGAGAGAGAGAGAGAGAGAGAGAGAGAAGAAAATATATGAAAAAATGGCTGACAGAACTACAAGGTTAAATAAGCACATCTGTTATCTGTGGGCTGGGGAAATATCTCAGTTGGTAGAGTGCTTGCCTTGCATGCACAAGGCCCTGGGTTCAATCCTCAGCAACATTTAAAAAAAAAAAGCATATCTGTAATATAGTTAGAGATGTTAGAAACTCCTCTAGAAGTCCTCCTATATAACATACAAAGAGGTTTTTAAGGTAATCTTCTTCCCATGCTCTTCCTCTCTTCCCCATTTTGAGTCACCTCCTTATATCAGAGAAGTCATTCAGCATTTGTTTTTTTGGAGATTGAGTAACTTCACTTAGCATAATCTGCTCTAATGTCATCCATTTCCCTGCAAATGCCATGATCTTATTATTTTTTAGTGCTGAGTAATATTCCATTGTGTATATATGCCACATTTTTTTTATTCATTCATCCATTGAAAGGCATCTAGGTTGGCTTCACAATCTAACTATTGTGAATTATACTGCTATAAACATTGATGTGGCTGTGTCCCTGTAGTATGCTGTTTTTAGGTCCTTTGGGTATAGTCCAAGAAGAGGAATAGCTGGGTCAAATGATGGTTCCATTCCCAGCTTTCCAAGGAATCTCCATACTGCTTTCCAAATTGGCTGCACCAATTTGCAGTCCCACCAACGGTGTATGAGTGTACCTTTTTCCCCCGCATTCTCACAGCACTTGTTGTTGTTTGACTTCATAATGGCTGCCATTCTTACTGGAGTGAGATGGTATCTTAGAGTAGTTTTAATTTGCATTTCTCTGATTGCTAGAGATGATGAGCATTTTTTTGTATACTTTTTGATTGATTGTATATCCTCTTCTGAGAAGTGTCTGTTCAGGTCCTTGGCCCATTTGTTGATTTGGGTTATTTATTTATTTTGTTTGTTTGTTTAGCTTTTTAAGTTATTTGTATACCCTAGAGATTAGAGCTCTATCTGATGTGTGAGGGGTAAAAATTTGTTCCCAGGATGTAGGCTCCCTATTCACCTCACATATTATTTCTTTTGCTGAGAAAAAAACTTTTTAGTTTGAATCCATCCCATTTAACGAAAGGTACTAACACTTTAATGGTTCTAAAATGGTGGGTAATAGCATTATGGGTAGCATTATTTTCTTCTTTATACTTTTATCTATTTTCTCAATGTCCCATGAGAAATATATTTTACTTTATTATTAAAAAATAAATATTAAAAAGAAAAAATAAGCTTAAAAGACTAATGAATAATCATTTAAACTGAGTTCCTCTATAGAATGAGTAACTTGTAGGGATGGGAGGAGACAGCTACAATCTGCCTACAATGATGTATGTGAAAAGATATTCTCTTACTGACAGTCCACTAAACAGTGTTATAAATTAAACCTCATGAATTAACTAGCTAAATTTTAGGTTTGTTATTAATTGCACAAAAATACTCTTTCCTTTTTAAGGTGATCCGAATAACACTCCAACTAAGGAGACAAAAGATTCTACCAAATTGAAGGAACCAGAAAAGAGGTCAGCTACATTCATTTGACAAATCTAGTAGGAACCAAATACTCAAATACATACAGGATTACTTGTCAACACCCCAGTACTTTTGTGATTTTTATAATATCAAAATCCACTTCAAGTCCACAAATCACCATATTTTTATACTAATTTTTTAAAAATAAGATTATATGGATACTTCTGTCCAGTTTCTGTACATATTGGAAAAATGAATAAAATGACATGAATTTAATTTATGAATCTGTCATTTATTAGCTATGAAATATATTTGGTTACTAAATATTTTTAATCTTTGATTATCTCAGTTATAAAATGAAATAATAATGTGGTGTGCTAGGTACGTAGAATAGAGCCTGCCTGGTACATAGTTAAGTGCTCAATAAATGATATCTTTGAATATTGATTAGTGTAACATTTCTTCTGCTATTTTTTTATGATATGAGCATTACTATTGGGGCCTTCCTACATCTCATTATGAGTCTCTGAGACCATTCATGTCACATTCACTTTTGAAAAAGAAGACATTCTAAATAGACTTTCCGGGGCTGGGGATGTGGCTCAAAGGATAGCACGCTCGCCTGGCATGCACGGAGCGCTGGGTTCGATCCTCAGCACCACATAAAAATAAAATAAAGATGTTGTGTCCACGAAAAACTAAAAAATAAATTTTAAAAGATAGACTTTCCACTGTCAGCTCTTCCTTCACATCTATTCACTTATCTCAGTCTTAATTATGACATCTGAGCCCAAACTTCCATCATTTCTTTCCTATACTGTTGCAATAGACTCCCAATTGTTTTTCCCAATTCTTCTAGTCATTTCTCAACACAATTGGAGATTTTTTAAAAAAATTGAAATAGTTGAGTAGCCATAAAAGAATATTTATAAAATATAAACTTAATAACTTCCCATTACTCTCAGAGTAGAAGAAAAATATCTTGGCTAGTTTAAAAAGTCCCTGTCCATCTCTCCAGAGTCATGACCTAATCTTTCCTCTAACTGTGCTTCAGTGACACTGGCTTTTGTTTCCCTCCACTTTCTCAAACTAGCAATGATCCTTTGATTTCAGGGTCTTGGCACATGTGTCCCTTCTGCTTAAAATTTTATACTTCTATGTTTTGCCAAAGCCCAATCATTCTTCAGGTATCAATTTAACTGGTGCTTCAAAAAAGACCTTCCCTAACTTCTGCAATCTAAATTAGTTATCCCTGCTATTATTCTTCATGATATGCTTGACTCTTTATTCTTTATTCTTATCATGGTTTAGTATTAATTTTCCTTTCCTGTGAAAAGGGGATTCTGATTTTGTTCAGAGTAACTGATATATTATAGCCACTCAATAATATTTGCCAAAAGAACTATCACATATTGCACAGGGCTAGAAATTTCAGACAAGATTGTGTAAATGCTTGTACATTAAAGGTTGCTAATAAACTTCAGTTTGGTGATATACAAAATGTGTTGAGATCAGGCTTAAATCTCTGTCCAGCCTGATCAACACCAGCCTTATCACAGTAGGACTTGAAGGAGTGACTTGAGTTGACCTAGACTAGAAAATACTCACCAGATTCACCCTCCTCAGGATTAGCCACATTAAACTAAATCAACCTCTAGGATTTGGCTGAGAAGAATATAGAGTGAATACTATTTGGTTATATCTACATAAAGTGAAGAATTATCATATTTTCTCTCAAAAGACAAGTAAACTTGCAGCTACTTAATTAGCCTAAAATAAAAATGAAATGTGTGTATACATTAAATTAAAATATGTACATAAATTAACTACACATGTATATATGTATTAAATTAAAATGTATGTTAAACATACTTTTAAAAATATAAAAATGATACGTTTGAATAAATTAAATTTTAAAATATATAAAGGAATATATTAAATAAAGGTTGACTACAGATCTCTTACACATATGGGACTTTAAAAATAGTAACTAATTTACATGACTTATCAAAGGAACAGTTATACATTAATTTTAAAACTTTTCTGTCAATACTTGAACTATATTATAGTTTTTAATAAAAATGAAACTTTTATATATTGAAAGAAATTTCTGAGCTGCTTTCTAAAACTAAACCTTCACCCTTCCTTTCATTTCTACCCAGCAATAAAAATCTATGGTATCTGGAGAAAAATCCTGATAAATTAACAATAATGATTCAAAAGCTTTATGTGTTTGCTTTTACTTGGGCATTTGGAGGAAGTTTAAAGCATGAAGATGAACATGAAGATGATACACTATATTATCCAGCTTTTGAGCCTGATTCTGTTTTGGAAGTAACCTATGATTTTGACAAACTTGTACGTGAATTATTTGAAGACAATTCACAAGGAGGTAAGTTCTGGCTGGGAGGAATCATTATTTTGCTTATTATTTTAAAATAGTTTTTAAATTGTTGATGGACCTTTACTTTATTTATTAATTTATTTATATGTGGTGCTGAGAATCAAAGCCAGTACCTCACACATGCCAGGCAAGCACTCTACCACTGAGCCACAGCCCAGCTCTATTTTGCTTATTTTAAAATATTAATTAGAAGCAATGATTGTACTTATATTGACTAGGCCCATCTTTTGAAGTGTGAAGATTAAAGGTAAAATAGTATTAAGAAATAACACCTTTGTGCTAATGAAAGGAGATTAAAGAAAAATTAGATTCCTGATTGGTTCCAGATGCAGTGAGAAGCTAGAACACTAGTGAAGCAAAAGGGAAAGCCTTAGAACTATGAACTCAGCCTTAGCCCATCAGCTGTGTAACGATCCATACTATCCACACCACCATGTAGCAGGAACTTCTGCAGGAGCAGAATATTTAGTCTTATATTTGTATTTTAATTCTGAGTTATTTTATAAAGTCTTGTGCTTTATAGGTCAGTTCTAACAGGTGGAATCTATCCTAGTAACCTAAAATACTAACCCTTCCCATTTAGCTGTTGCTGATTAAAGAAACTTTGAATAGATAAAGAGATTGTTAATGCAGGTACCAAAAAGAGACAAAATATGAATGTATTTAGAAAAACCTTGTAAAACAAAGATGGGATCTTTTTTTTGTGGTGCTGGGGATTGAACCTAGGACCTTATGCATGCAAGGCAAGGACTCTACCAACTGAACCATATCCCAAATATATTTGGCTACTAAATATTTTTAATCTTTGATTATCTCAGTTATAAAATTAAATAATAATGTGATGTGCTAGGTACGTAGAATAGAGCCTGCCTGGTACATAGTTAAGTGCTCAATAAATGCAGTCTTAATTCCTAATTCAGTCTTCAGAATTACTGTAAACACTTCCATTTAAGACGTCTGGATGGGAGCAGAGGTGTAGCTCAATAAGAGACCGCATGTGTAGTTTTTGCTAGGACCTGTGTTCAATCCTAGCAGTCAAAAATGCACATATATATATAAACATCTGGATGACAAGTTTTATGTAATTTCCTATAGAAATTAACTTTTAATTTCAAAGCATTGCATGTTAATTTGTTATTGAAGTTAACTATTCAATTTTATGCCTCTTTTTTTAAAAAATTTATTCTTTAGAAGTATTTGGATGCAATACCTTCATTTTATTTATTTACTTCTATTTGGTGGTGAGGATCAAACCCAAGGCCTCACACTTGCTAGACAAGTGCTTTACCACTGAGCCACAATCTCAGCACCTGCTAACTTTTAAAGATAGATAAACTACCTTAATTTATTGTCAGACAGATCATAAACTAGAAATGTTTTATTAAAAATGTAAAAGCTATACACAAAGGAATTTTCGATGAGTTGTTAAAGTTTACTAAGGTATTTGTTGTCTTTGAAAAATAGGATTAAAAAATCAACTTTTAATTTGTTAGAACAACGTATAAAATAGCATATTGATTTGAAGCACACAGAAAGTAATTAATAATTATATGTGATGCAAATACAAAAAAAGAATAGCAATACTATATGATAAAGTAAAATTTATGCCAAAAGATTAAAGAGGATTCGAGAAAAACACTACATTAAAAAACAACAACTCTAGCTGGCCAAGGTGTAATCCCAGAGGCTTGGGAGATTGAGGCAGAAGGATCATGAGTTCAAAGCCAGCCTCAGCAAAGGCATAGCATGAGGCACTAAGTAACTCAGTGAGACCCTGTCTCTAAAATAAAATAACAAATAGGGCTGGGGATGTGGCTCAGTGGCCAAGCTCAATCCCCAGTACCAAAACAAACAAACAAACAAACAAAAAACCCACAAAACACAAAACAACTATGAACTTGTAGAAATATAACAATATAGTCTTTTAATAGCAAAATCTGATAAAATTCTAACAGGTAATAAATAATTCTAAAATTATAAGAGATTTTTAATTTGTCTCTATAAGAAATTGAAAGATTGAAACAGGCAAAAATAATAATTATAAGGTGTATGTTAACACTGTTTTACATATACATTTATCATTTTAAATATTAACATTGTTATCTTTGTATGGTAAAATAATGGCTTAATTATTTTGCTTTTCATTATTCAATATCTTCAACAATTTTCTACTGAGAAAATATATTACTTTTAAAATGGAAAAATACATGTGATTTACAAATGAGTATCAATATTCTCATATGTATTGGTTTAGCCACAACCAGTACATTTCTATCATTTAAAAACATCATGTATGTCTACATAATAAGAAACAGAACTTTAGGGTAAGGTTTCAAGGCTATCAGATCAAAATTCACCTTAATTTCTGGATTATAAAAAGGACAAAAAGTTAATCAGTTTTTGCTTTTATACAATTAAATATTATGAAAAAAGACAGACTTATTTAATATATTTGGACATACTTTTCTTAATAATCATATATTTCAGTTAGAGTTCATATTCTTAAATAAATCTCTTTCCTATGTGGATCTATTTATCAATCTCAAATGTAGGTATCAGTCTACCAACTGGTGAACGGTCTATCTTTGGGTATTTTGTGGACATGCTACAATGTGAATTCATACCTTGGTCAGATTTAGTTCCTAATATTCAGACATTAATTCAAAGAGGTAAGGGTAATTATACAAATTTCTTGTAATTTGTAATTTTTTGTAATTTCTTCAAAATGCTGAGGATACTGTATTTGTAAAATTAGTTATATATCAGCAAATTTAATTATTAATACATTCCAAATTTGTGTAGAGACCAGTTTGGATCCACATTTACAAAATGTGCCTTAAAAATAACTTTTGAATACTACTTTACGAAAAATCTGGAGTATTTTGAGTCATTTGCACATTGTAAAACTGAGTTCATTGAAAGTCTTATTAATCACAATATTTATTATTTCAATTAGCTATGATTATTGAAAGGAGAAAATGGTAAGGTTCACATGTAAAATAGGAAAAGTATGTATGTAAGAACTTACACTTGATTATATAGGAAACTACTCATTAGAAAAAAATAACATTGTTTGGTGAACATCCATATTTGCTAAATTATTTTTATTCTCGATCTTCTGCTTCTACATAAAACAAAAAAAAGACATAGAAACTTGTTGCACTTTAAGAGCTTGGAAGAAGTTTAAGGCAGGAACTTAATGGTCAGGCTTCTTGTCAAGTTATTACAAATACAGATGGTCCTCAACTTGCAAGTTTTCAACTTTATGGTAGTGTGAAAGCAACACATAATCAGTAAAAACCATACTTCAGATCTGGAATTTGAAATTTGGATCATTTCTCAGACTAGCAATAGGCAGTATCATACTCTTTTGCAATGCTGGGCAGTGGCAGTAGTCATAGGAATATAAGAGGAAACAACCAATACTCTACAGTGTACTGTTACTAAACTATGCTGTTAAGTAGGTTAGGTGTATCAAATGCTTTTGACTTAACAACATTTTCAATTTACCTTGGGCTTATTTGGATATAATCACATCATCAAGGAGGAGAATCAGTATAAGAAGTTTAATGAATGGAAATTGAAATGAATAACTGAAGTCAGGTTTCTCTCATCAAATAATTTCAAAGTTTGGTTGCAATAGTTTTTGACAGAAACCAACCAGAGCTGTCAGAATCATAGGCATCCAGAAAGTTCTAATTTCAAATTTATTTTTGTTGGAAATACCAAAGTTATATTGTACATTGTTTTGTCACAATAAGCATTGGTGAGAGATCACAGATTCTATTTCATGTTAGTGCTAATATTGGGGGCATTTTTATCTTTAGCTTTTTGCCACTAGATTGAAATATAACTGAATATCATTTGCCTATAATTCAACACCTTCTCCAAATCTAAAACATTCACTTCTCTGGAGACAACTTACCCTACTTGTATGCAAAGGACATAGAAGCAATTAAAACCCTCCTGAGCTTTTAAACCAAACTTGTAATGATAATTTTAATGTCACAATACCATGTTTCCCCTTTAGTAAACCACAATATGTAGATTGGGCATCTTAGACATGCTTAAGGAAAAAAATCACCTTTTGGTATTATTGCATAGAAAGCTGACTGAAGGAGAAATCCACAACAACTACATGAAGTGCTTTCTCCTGGACTTAAAACTCTATGGGGTTATCACTGAGCACAGATGTGATAAATCATGATGCAGAAATTCCTTTTCCTACTATCATGGTGGAATAGTTATTGAAAGAAAATATTTTGCATGTGGATTGAGTTATATATTTTACTCCAATTTCCACTAATCTTTGAGGAGTTCAAATATGAATTGTGTAGTAATTAAGATTAATTAACAGTGCTGAAAATTATGCTTTATATAGCTTACTGAGGATATAATATCTATTTAACAAACTACACATAATTTTGATTGAAACAGTCATGTTTTTTTATCAGTCAGGTTGACTGTTAAATGTTCAAGGAGGACAAAAACCAAAGCTTCTTTCCCTCCACTCTTTCTCTCTCACACAAACATGTATAATTTAATCTGACCGATTAAGGGCTCTCCCCTCTGTGGAAAGGTGAACTACCTTAAGCGAGCCCTTACATGGCCAGATACCCTATCCTGAGTGACCTAAGGAACCTCAAATCTTGAACTAAGGTTATCTGTGAATATTTTCTAGCATCCACTAAAAAACTAATAGGACTATTTTCCTAAATCATATATTATTCATACAAACAATATTTTCAAATTTAATTAGTTAAAGGTAATTAGCAGAATCAAGATTATCACCATAAATTAACAAGACTTGAATGACTAGAATTACTGGCTATATATTCTGAGACATCCATACTTACTATGTTTAAAGAAATAAAAAATAAGCTTGAAAATACCTGAAAAGAATCAGAAACTATGAAAATGAGGCACAATTTGAAAAAGAATCAAACAGACCCTCTAGAGATGAAAAATGCAGCCAAATGCGACCAGTGTAACTCCACATCATCTACAACTGCAATAATGGGATACTAATTAGAATAAATTGTTCTCTCTATATGTATAACATGTTTAAATACAGTCTACTATCATATATATCTAAAAAGAACAAATAAAAATAGTTATGAAGGAAAAAAATTACAACAAAAACAACTACTTAAAGAGAAAAGGAAGCATTTTCATTAAAATCCAACATTTCAACTTAATGTTTTTTTTTAATTTTTTGTAGCTGTAGATGGACAGAATGCCTTTATTTTATTTGTTTATTTTTATGTGGTGCTAAGGATCCAACTCAATGCCTCACACATTCTAGGCAAGTACTCTGTCACTGTACTACAGCCCCAACCTCTTAATGTTGTTTTGAAGATGCTAACCAATGCAGTTAAAAAAGAGAAAAAAATTAGATATGTAAATTTGAAAAGGAGATGGTTAGATTTTATTATTTGCAGATATTAAAATATTTATGAAACCCAAGAATACCTTAAAATGATAAACTATAAGTAAAAGTATAAAGAATATGAATAAACAATTCATAGAGGATCCCCAAGATGGCCACGAATAGAGTGCATCACACCCCCACCTCGTGTACCGCGCCACTGCGTGGGTGAATAACGAGTTAGAATGACAAAAAACTCTCTTGTTAAGAACTTACAGCAAAATGGGGGTGCACTGAAACCTAGAGGAAGGATTTCCAGCACCGAGGTCCAGTAATTGAGTCTCAAACATGAGCCAACTGTGCGACCGGACATCCGGGCTGACTGATCCGAGCGGCCCACCCCGCGGCTACAGATGGTGGGGAGCCGCCAAGAAGCAACCAGCAAGCAGGGAGATTGCTGCAGATTCTGTGGAATCCTGCCACCTGAGCACTCACGGAGCCCCAGGCTGAGTTCGGGATTTCAGATGGGGAAGGAAACGGGACGGTTCTATCCCCCACAACAGAAACTCCACCAAGGAAACCATCGGCCAACATCTTGGAGAGCTGAGTAACCACCACCACTCTCCAATAGATTGCAACAATAAAACAGGTGCGTGTTACTCAGCTCATCGCCCAACAGCAAGGAATTCGCATAAAATCTCTCCTAGGCTCTCCGGGGGAGGGATTATCAGAGCAAGCCTGCATAAAGACGCGGGGAAAACTAGAGACACCCGACCTTCAACTCCCCCTCCCATCAGTGGGAAAAATGAAACCTGTATTGCCAGTGTGGGGGAGGAGCAAGCGGAAAAAATCAAAACAATAGAGTGCC